GCCGGCGGGAGCGGGGTCTCTGCTGGGGGGGCGCGGGGGTGCAGGTCCAAGGGGGTCCGGGGCGTCGCAGCTCGTCCCCGCTCCCCGTGCCCCACAGCGCGCCGCGGGACAGTCTGTGCCGGAGCGCCGGTCGCGGTGAAAGCCTCCCCCCGGCCCCGTTGGTGGGGGGCTGGCAGCTGGCGAGGTCCATGGCTAGGTGGAACATGGCTATTAAAATCCAAGCATGGCTTCCGAGCGGGCAACCTGACCTGCGGACAGAGAGCCAGCGGGTTAGAAAGGCGGAGGGGTAACCCAGGGGGTCCCCAAACCCAGACACCCCCAACGCCCCATGGCAGCACGGGAAAGCGGTGCCATCGTCCTCCCCACCGTGTTCCCATCAGGGCCCCCCAAAAACAGCATCGTAGGGTTCCCCAGACCCTTCCCCACCACCATCAATGGGGCAGACCAAGGACCCCCACCCAAACCCATGACTTTGCTCCTTCTCAGTTGACACGCGAATGCCATGAATGACCCCAGATGGGTTTCACTGTGAAATGCCAATGTCTGTGCTGCCCAACTTCAGCCCTTTTAGGTGAATTATCCAAAGCAGATGGCAGGAACCGAACCGGAGTCTCTACATCACCAGGGCATTGGGGAGCCTGGTCCCTGCTCCCCAGCTTTCCAAGCCAAGGAGTGAGCCCACGGAGGGCAGTGGTATGAATCCCTCAATGAGCCAAGACAGAATCACAGAATCTTCTAGGTTGGAAGGGACCTTCAAGATCATCTTGTCCAACCGTCAACCTAACTTTAACAAAAATAGACACCCACACAACAAACAAGGAGCATCATCACTAAACCCTATCTCCCAGCACTACATCAACCCCTCTTTTGAACACCTCTAGGGATGGTGCCTCAACCACCTCCCTGGGCAGCCCATTCCAATGGCTGAAAGAAGAAGTCCATGGGCTCCTGCTTTTGCAGGTGGGACCCGTCTCCTCTTGAGGAGGTGGCCCACGCCACAGCAGGAGTATCCCTGGTGCCTGACACGACCCCGTGGCACCGGGACCGGCCGGGTGTTTCCTACCCCAGCAGGGAGGGACGAGCAGCCCCGTTCACAGCCCTTTTCTTGGTCACAGAAGGGCTGGAAGTGGCGCTGCACCGTCAGCAGGCTCAGGATTCACAATTCTGCTTGGATGTAACGTGTCTCCATCAGGTCGGGGCACGTCAAAGCCTCTCCCTTCCCCTCCTCCGCGGCACCACACATGGCCAGGTCCTGCTCCGCTCACATCCTCCCCTGTGATGCAACCCCCCCATGAAGCTCGGTGCTTCACGGTAAGAAAATGCCTGATATACAAATTTTTCTTGTTTTTTGCTTTTGTTTTTTTTTCTCAGGAAACAAAAAAAATCATTAGGCCAAAACCCCCAAATCTTTACACCGTTTTATTCAGCTTTTACACAAGAAAGACTTTTGTCGAACTCAGCAGGAGTTAATGAGAGCTTTATATGGCTAAATAGACTAATCCTCCGCAGCGCTGCGCCCCGTAAAGTCCTTGGGAGCACTACAAAATGTGCATCTGGTTGACAGAAGCATTTGTACACTCCCTCCGTGCGTGAGCAAACGAAGCTAAAGGAGCTGACCTGGATACTCTCAGGCACAGCCTTTTTCTGCTCAGAAAAGATCTTTTTTTTTTTCTCTCTTTTTTTTTTTTCCTAATTGGGTATTTTTTTTCAAAGCGTAGCAGCATTTATTTTGGGGAGGAACAAGGCGACGCAGGGAAAAGGCGCAGAAGGAGAAAGGGAAGAGTCAGAAACAGACAACATAAACCAAAATAGTTCAGGCTGGGGGAGGAAGGAATTCAAAAGCTTCAAAAAAAAACCTGAACCACCCAAAACATGTTGTCGGTGGGGGGGGGGGGGGGG